TCTTCTTCTTCTTCTTCTTCTTCTTCTTCTTCTTCTTCTTCTTCTTCTTCTTCTTCTTCTTCTTCTTCTTCTTCTTCTTCTTCTTCTTCTTCTTCTTCTTCTTCGATGCTTGAACAATCCATACATTTGGTAATATCCCATTTTATGGCATACGTGAAATGGACACCCATCTATTGAGTTATTTCCCATATGGATGGTTTTTCTCAGACCTTTTCTTCTGTTGTAGGTTGCCAGTCTCCATGCAGCTATTGCAGATGCTGAGCAGCGAGGAGAGTTGGCCCTGAAAGATGCCAGGGTGAAACTCACTGATCTGCAGCATGCCCTGCAAGCTGCCAAGGATGAGCTAGCACGTCTACTGAGAGACTATCAAGAGTTGCTGAATGTCAAACTGACCCTCGATGTTGAGATTGCTACCTACAGGACTCTGCTGGAAGGAGAAGAATGCAGGTAAGGACTACCAAAGAGCATCTGGAGATATTTTTATTACATTTAATGATACATGCATTTAACATAAGAACATAAGAGATGTCAATGTTGGATCAGGCCAAAGGCCCATCCAGTCCAACACTGTATCACACAGTGGCCAGAAATACCAGGTGCCATCAGGAGGTCCACCAGTGGGGCCAGGACATTAGAAGCCCTCCCACTGTTGACCCCCCCAAGCACCAAGATGACAGAGCATCACTTGCCCCAGAGTCCCTATCTATACCTTGTGGCTAATAGCCACTGATGGACCTCTGCTCCAGATGCTTATCTAATTCCCTTTTGAAGCCGTCCATGCTTGTAGCTGCCACCACTTCCTGTGGCAGTGAATTCCAAGTGTTAATCACTCTTTAGGTGAAGAAGTACTTCCTTTTATCCATTCTAACCCGACCGCTCAGCAATTTCATGGAGTGCCCACGAGTTCTTGTATTGTGAGAAAGGGAGAAAAGTACCTCTTTCTCTACCTGCTCTTTCCCATGCATAATCTTATAAACCTCAATCATGTCACCCCTCAGTCGCCATTTCTCCAAGCTAAAGAACCCTAAGCGTCTTAACCTTTCCTCATAGGGAAAGTGTTCCAACCCTTTTATCATTCGAGTTGCCCTTTTCTGCACTTTCCCCAAAGCTATAATAGCCTTTTTAAGGTGTGGTGACCAGAACTGCACACAGTATTCCATGCGACGGTCACCTCGAGGCTGGACTACTGTAACGCTCTCTACTTGGGGCTGCCTTTGTCGCAAATCCGGAAGCTGCAGCTAGTGCAGAATGCTGCAGCTAGGCTGTTGATGGGTCTCTCCAGGCGAGACCATATCCGGCCGGT